AAGTCACTAATTACTCCAAGGATTTTAGCCTGGGGGAATAGAAGTATCATTTACTGAGATGGGGAAGGATGCCAAAGGGGGAGGTTGGAGGTAGTGAGGATTCAAGGGTTAGTTTTCAACAAGAATGATTTAGCAAATGTTTAGAGCAGGCAGTTGGATACAAGAGTCTGGGCTGGAGGTGGTAACTGGAGAGTCATCAGCGAATAAATAGTTTTGAAGCCATGAGCTAGGATGCGAGTGCATGGAGTTAGAGAAGAAAAGATGTCCAAGGCTGAGTCTTGGGTGTTCCATGTCAGAGACATAAGGAGGACCCAGAAGGGAACTAGGAAGGAATGCCAGTGATTTAGCAGGAAAATTGGGAGGAAGGTGGGGGGAGTGGGAATGGAGGAGGGAATATGGGGTTCCAGAAACCAGGTAAGAAAACTTTTCAAGATCTTGTAACTGTGTTCAATGCTGCTGATAGCTCAGATGAAATTTGAGAATTGACCCTTGGATTTGGCAATGTGGGGGGTCATTGGTGACCTTGACAAGGGTTATGTCTCTGGAGTGGTGGGGAAGGAAATCTGAATTGAGTGGATTTGAGAGAATGGGAGGAGAATGATTAGAGACAGTGAGTAAACATCTCTTTCAAGGATTTCTGGTGGCAGAAAGGAGGAGGTAGTGCACTCTAAACATTTGCCAAATCATTCTTGTTGAAAACAAAGCAGTTAGTGATCGCGAAGTAGCAGGGAGAGTCAAGGACACCTACATCACCTCCAAACCCTGAGGTGTGAGGAGTGCAGTTGGGGAAAACAGGAACCACTAGAGGGCGATGTGTTCAGAATGGTGATCATGTCTCAGCATTCCCTGATCCTTTCTGAGTTGGAGTGGCATCACCTGAAGAGCTTGCAAAATAATACTGATGTCTGGCCCCATCCCAGACTATTGAAGTCAGAATCTCTGGACACGTATGAGCGCTCCTGTTTCCTCACATTCTGACCAACACTTGGTGTTATTAGATGTTTTAATTTTTGTCCATCCCAGGGGTATACAATGGTGTCTCCTGTTATCCATTCATTTATATCTTTTGCTAATTCCTCCCCCAGTTGTGTTTGTTAGCCATTTTATTACTGATCTATAGGAATTGTTTAGATATTTAAGATATTAATCCTTTTGTGGTTATATGTGTTGCAAATATCTTCTCCTGGAATGTGGCTTTTTTTTTTAATTTAGCAGAAGATTTTGGTTTTAATATTAATATCTGAGTTATCAATTTTATTTCTAGTGGTTTGCATATTTTATGATATTGATAATTTTCACATAACTTATTTCAAAGCTGTTGGTAGGCACGAATATTTATTTACTGATTTTCCAGGGAAAGAGTAAGGTAGTTTTTTTAGAGTAAAAATCATTAAAATAATGTTTTACTTCTGTTCGTACAGGGACGATATGTTTGCTGGCTTTGGGCTATGTTATTTTACTTATCCCACTATAATGCTATTTATTTTTTAAAATAAAAGTAATACATGTACATTAATGCTGTAAAAAATTTCAAATAGGACAAAAGAGCATAAAATGGTGAGTAGAAATCTCTCTCTCTCCCTTGTTTCTTCTGCTCACAGGTAACAGTTTCTTAGATATCCCTTCAGAAAAAAAGATTTTTCTGCATATACCAGCACAAGTGTGTAGACCCTTGTGTTAGATCCCTGTGGCTGCCATAACAGACTCCCACAAATCAGGTGGCTTAAAACAACAGAAATTTAAGGACTTTCTGGTCAACATGGCAGAGTAGTAGGACCACGAGCTCGCCTCTCCTCACAACTACAACATAACCACAACTAACTGACTGCTGAATAACCATCAGGGAAAAAAAAGACTGGAACCTAGCGAAAAAGATCTTCTTCCTGGAAAAGATCTTTACCTGTAAACATAAAGAGGGAACCACAGTGGGATGGTAGGAGGGGCGTGCTCATGATATAATCAGGCCTCATACCCCCTGGGTGGGCGGCCCACAAGCTGAAGAATAATTAAGTTGCAGAGGCCCTCCCATAGGAGGGAGAGCTCTAAGCCCCATGGTAGGCTCCCCAGCCTGGGGTTCTGGCACTGGGAGGAGGAGACCCCAGGACATATGGTTTTGAAGGCTGGGGGGCTTAACTCCAGGAGCCCATATGGGGAAACAGAGACTTCATTCTCTTGGGAAGTGTACACAGAATCTCGAGTGCGCCAGGTCCAAGGGCAGAGGCAGTGATTTCATAGGAACCTGGGCCAGACCTGCCTGCTGGTTTTGGAGGGTCTCTTGGGGAGATAGGGGATGGCTGTGGCTCACCCAGGAAGCATAAAAGCTGGTCGTGGACATTTCAGGAGTGTTGATGTATATGAGCTTTCCTGGAGGCTGACATCTTGATTGGATCATT